TTGAAGAGCCCTGCCACAGATCCTGGCGAAACGTTAGGAAGAACAACCTTCAGAACACGGCCAAAGAGCCTGAAAAACCCACAACAACCGATGAAGCAGAACTTGGAAATGTTACTTTTTTGCCCTTATTGACTCAAGCATTTGAGTATTATTTTAATCCAAAAAAGATTTTTTTTCAAGACTGACCAGTGCTCTGCATTGAAGCCACTTTACAAGTTACATGAATTTCAGCTACGGGTACAGTACTTAGCTTGGCTCTCACGTTTTAACTTCTTGCAGGAATCAAGGAAGATGCCTGTCCATGCCACACGGACCATGTGATGAAACACAGTGGCAAACTGCTGAAAAGATACACTGTAAGTCAGAAGGGAGATGGAAAAGGAACTGTCTTTTCTTGGCTATGACCTCTGAGTGGTTCATTCTGTTCCTGTACCACCTGGGATGGCAGGAAAGTTGTCTTCTCAGCACAAAGTTCTCTCTCTCTCTCTCTCCCTCCCTTGGCCCCTGACCAGTCCATCGCAGTTTACATCAGAGCCTATAATGAGGGTTAACGTGAGCTGTAGTCTAAAGATGTTATGGGGAAGGATTTGTAAAGTGCAGCCAACCAAAGCAGCCCATGGCCCTTTTCCCATAACCTCTTATTATTACTCTCCTCCCTCCACAGAAAAAAAACAGGAACAGAAAAGTGAATTGCTACTTCTGGAAGACTCCAGAAGCAGCAATATATCCTTTAAATCAGATGCCCCACTCTCCGCGCATGTGCACAAGTTCCCCTGCCCCTACACATGTACCTGAGCACTCCCCACCCATGCACAAGCAGGCGGGGCTGCCCCCCATGCACAGACCCCACTCTCCCAACCAGTCCGCTCTTCAGAAAAGATTGGGGACCACTGCTTTAAATGGGCTGTAGTGCTCCCTGAATGATGTAACACAAACACACACAAGAAAATAAGACTTGGTCTAGAGGGGCGGGGTAAAAATCCAATAAACAGACAAACAAAGAAACAAACTTTGTTTTTTCCAAAACAGGAAGTGGACTTTCAGCTACTTCATTTTGTCTTTTGCATTTTGGCAATATTTTGTGGTCTGTGCACATCCTTAGAGGGCCCTGGGGCAGAAACTTGGTGACCATATAGACAAAAAATGCTCATCCCTGATCTGGAGGGTCATATACTCCCCATCCTCCACTTGTATCTTGTCTGGATGTTGAATATTGCTGCTCTTGTACATTTAGTTTAGCCCACTTCCTCCCTTTTTCAATCTCCAAAGGTCCTCTTTTGAACTGTTCAAGTCCCAACCCAGGAGCAATGCTATCCTCAACATGTCTGTGCTGAACTGGTGCCTGGACCTGATAATGGAGTGGATGAGGGTTAATAAATACTCAGTCCAGACGAGACGGAAGTGCTGTTAGTGGGTGCTTCACCAGACAGGTTGGAGGGCCATTTCCCTGCCCTGAATTGGGTTACACTCCCCCTAAGGGACAGGTTCCGCAGCCTGGGGGGTGCTCCGGGACCCCAGTCTAATTCTGGAAGCCCAGGTGGACTCGGTGGCCAGGGGTGCCTTCCTTCAGCTGCGGAAATTATACCAGCTACGGCCCTACCTGGATGAGCACTCTCATGACACTTACACACGCACTGGTAACATCTCACATAGATTACTGCAATGCGCTCTAAGTGGGGCTGCCTTTGAAGACGGTCCGGCAACTGCAACTGGTCCAGAATCCAGCTGTGCGCATGGTGAGTGGTGGGGCCACTCAGGGAAACATCAAGCCGATTCTGTTTAAATTACATTGGTTGCCAGTTGCTGCCCGGGCCCAATTCAAAGTGATGGTTTTGACCTTTAAAGCCCTAAACGGCTTGGGCCCTGGATACCTGAAGGACCGCCTCTTTCCATGTGAACCTACCCAGCCCTTTTGAAGGAGCCATCCCTCAAGGAGGTAAGAGGGATGGCTTGTAGACAAAGGGCCTTTTCAGTAGCTGCCCCCAGACTATGGAATGCCCTCCCAATTGAGATTCATCTGGCACTGACGCTGATGACATTTTGGCGCTGGGTCAAATCCTTCCTGTTCCAGAAGGCTTTTAATTGAAATATCAACTGTGGGTCCTAATGGCAATTTTAGAGTATATAATTTAATTGTATTTTAATTATCTTTTTAACTGTATTTTAATTGTTGTAAACCACCGAGAGAACTTTGGGTAGAGTGGTCGGCGTATAGGTTAAATAAATAGTCGGTGGGTGAAGTAGTTATGACAACACTGATCACATGGCTTCTCTTTTGTCTTCTAGACTACGGAGTATATACAACAGTGGTAACAGCTGAGACACTGACAGCAGCAAGAAAAGATTGTGTCCTGTATCTCTGAGCCAGGTCAAAATTGTGTTGGTGATTGCAAAGCACTCAGCCAGAGTGAACAATGAAATAATGCTGCCTCTGTGCATGGGAAATCCCAGCTCTAAAATAAAAGTTCTCCAGAACTGCAGATTCAAAGCACTTTTTTTAAAAATCATGTAAGTGGGCACAGTGGACTTAGTTGTCTCATCTCCCTCTTTGGATCCTGGAAACTTCCAGCGTTACAGATCAGCTGTATTCACTTTCAGTGGGGAAAATGCAGCATTCCCAGATTAGTACAGATAAGTACCATCATGATATATGGCTAATAATTTACCCAATCTAATCCAAAAGGAACAGACAGCTTTGAATATCACCAGTAAAATACATGTACCCCATGCCCTTCTTGGGATGAGCTGGCAGAATGTTTAAAGAAAGGACTGGACATGCATCTGCTGTAAATGCTTTTGTTCAAGGATGCATGTCCAACTTAGAATTTTAAGGCTACTTCAAATTTAGCACTGTAGAGGGATTACTTTTAGGTATAATTAAACTGAAAACAGTGGTTTCCATATGGCTCTTGATACACTGCTATATTATCCAGCAGGTCTCTCTCGTGTAGAGAGAACTATAGCACTACAGGATAAAAATTACTGGATTTTTTTCCTATGTGTATTCATAATTAAGTCGTATCAAAAGATCTCTACAGCATTAAATGTGTCTCTTGTTTGCAGGGTGTCCCTATTTTATTGCTCCTGGTTGATTGAGGTTGGGAAATTAGAGAATTCTCTTAGTTCTCTCAGTGTCAGTTGCTGTTCCTAGATTGGGGAAAGGGAATAGGTTTGATTACCCATCTTCTATATATCTTTTCCATTTTAATGGGAAAGTAGTATCATTTTAAAAATAGCTATTAACCTCCCTCTTTTATAAAAGAAAAACAAGATGAAATTAGTAATTAACCACCTCCTACTGCAGGAAGATGAATTTGAGGTAATTCATGATTACTCTAATGTTCATCAAAAGCAAGCAATAAAAACATTCACTGCCTACAAAACAGGAAACTCTCCATTAGAAGCACAAGATCCTTGAAAAATCCTTGAGAGGTTTTTGCCATTCTCCCATGGACAGTGCTCCCATTTCCCTTTATTGCAATAAATAAAATTAGCCACAAACTGGAACAGAGAAGACAAAGAAGAGCAGAAAAACTACTCAGGAAACTGGAAACTATAGCAATTTGAAAACATTACTGATTCTCCATAAAAGACTGAGCAAACAACAAATGATGATTCCAGAAAGAAGGGTTTGCTTGGATATAAACTACGAACCTGAAGTGCCTGGTGACCAACGGGTCTTTTTTGTCTTTTAGGCTGTCTTATCAGGCTGTGTTACACACATCCTCCCGACTCTACTTTAAAATCCAATGTCTCCTCTTTCACAGTGCACAAGCTAATACAAACACACGTCCCGGACTAGTAACAATGCATAACAATATTTATTCTGGAGGATTGCCCACGCTGTCCTAAAGGAGTGGACAACATGACTTATATTCTTCTCCTCATGACTCTATCCAAAAGAGTTTATATTTTTAAAAGCAGTCTTTCAATGTGCAGGTATCTGTGACATCTCAAATATTTTTTCAGTGTTGTGTGCTCTCCCATGAAGCCACAGGTTGCAAAAAGCTGATCTAATGACCAGTCAGGAAGTGGATAGGTGGAGGACCCACCAGCACCCTCTCCGGTGGGTGGAGTGGAATATAAAACAGAGCTTACTGTGAAGCAGTGCCTGCTTGCTCAAGTCATCACGGTGCAAAGTCCAAGGTTCCTTTCCTGCTGTTTCAAGTGTGTGCATGTGCGTGTGTGTAGAAATAATGTTCACCAAGGGAAAAAGCTTCACGGAGTCCATTCCCAGACCTTCAAAGAAATCCGCACTAACAAGGGTCATTGCCCTACGGATCCAGGAATTAGTGTCCTCAGCCCTAGGTCTATGCAAGCTCCATCACAGAATCTGCAGTTCCCGTGTGGTTTCCTTGTATCATCTCTCATGGTAGGATAAATTTATGCTGCTCCCTTGACACACAAACGGTCAGCAAAAGGATATACCCGGCCTCAGCCTTTCTTTTGTGGCAGAACTGATAACACTGGATCAAAGCTGCCAATTCTCTCACTCCTGCTGCTTTCCTGACACAGTTCACAGGGGGAGAGGAAAAAAAATTATGCTGCAGCCATTTCACTGACAAGAAACGAAGAGGATGAAGGACACCAATAACAGCTGGTTCATGGTGCCACCCTGGAGAACGGTAGAATCAAGACATGCCAGGGATTATAGCATTGCCTCTGCAGTCCACATACTGGTAGTTTTCAAAGGACAGCTGCTCCGAGTGAGAGAGATAGGAGCACGTCAGGGTACCCCTGGCAGGAGAAAAGGAAAACAAATCAGGAAAAAAGGCATGCAACTGTGACCCGCTTAACTGTACCCCTCATTTCTTTCCCAGATTAGGTTACCATCTAGATGCACCTTACCCAATACATACAAAGCTCCGTTTCTCCTCCCAACCTCCAAAGCTTAACTGGAAAACAAGAATTCAGCTAGAGCAGTGGTTCTTAACCTTTGTTACTCGGATGTTTTTGAACTGCAACTCCCAGAAACCCCAGCCAGCACAGTTGGTGGTGAAGGCTTCTGGGAGTTGCAGTCCAAAACTCCTGAGTAACCCAAGGTTAAGAACCAGTGAGCTAGAGGACTTATTTTTATTAACTGAAATTGAGGAGTAAATCACAATTAGAATAGGCCTATTGAATCACTGCGGAATTGAGCTAACATCTATGTGAGTTCCCTTGATTCAATGGACCTACTCTAGTTGCATTTAACTGCCAACTTAGACCTCAGAAAAGTTACTTTAATGGGGGTGGGATACAACTCACAGAACCCTCCAAATAAAATTTCCACATTGCCTTCAGCTTGCTAACAACTGCAGTCTAAAAAGTAACTTCTGCCAGTTCTGTCTATGACTAATTATCTTGCAGGGACCGTGTACCTATTTAGAAAGCAGTTTCTGATCACACTTGAATTAGAGGGGCGTTTCTGATCACACTTGAATTTCTGATCACTTGAATTAGTAAGATGAGCAGAAGGGGACAGCCTTAAAGAATTTGAGGTTCATGGCTGGGAGAACCAGTGCAAAGACTTTTAGAGAGAAGATGATTTTTATACGCAAGAAGCAAATTAGTTTGTGGTACAATTAAAAGTCAAGAAAGGGCTGCCAAAACTACAAGTGATCCTCATAGGCAAATGAATCTCTGCTTTGCAGCAGACAGAGGGGGAAGGAACAGGAGTGGAGTAGTTGGCTTGAGGGAGGTAGCGCATAAACAGTTTCTTGCCAGCAGAAGTACACTTACTGTATGTGCAGGAGAACATTGTGGACTTTTATTCTGGACCATGTGCAAATTTTGCTGAAAGAAAAACACAAAGAAAGCAGATGGGGAGGAAGCCTGCATATGCAAAATCACAGTTCGGTAGGTTGCAACCCATTCTCCCCACCCCTAAATAATCTGAACTATGTTGAGATGGGTTTCCTTCTCCTCTGTGAATGGAGCACAAAATATATGCCCCATATTAGAAATCACAAGCAGTCCACAGCTCACAGGTAGAACACGTGTGTTACAGAGCTTGCTTTTCTGGACTACAGCCCCCACTCAGTTCCCAGTCATCATTCTCAGTATCTTGGGAATATCAGGAAAATTTTACAGGTTCTGATGTTTGCAAAATGGAAATCCAAATGTTCTTTCTGCAGCATCTCAGTTTAAAAAGAGGCTAACAAAGTAGGACTAGAGGAACTTCTCTAAAATAGTGGACAGCTGCTGCCAATCCGCACTGAGACAGATTGACTCAGTATATGGCAACTTCATATCTGAATTATTATTGTAGGTGAATCCATTTGAAACCTGTTCCTATCACAACTGATGTCACAGTTGAGAAACGTTACTTTTGGGGAAAATTACACCTCCCAGAATATCTTAGCCAATATGGCCACTAGCTGTGTTGATAGAGGATTCTGGGAACTGTAGTCCAAAAGGAAATATTTCCAAGCTCTGGCTAAGGATGACTGATGTTCTGTTGACTTTGTTGTAAGCATAGGGGGAAAAACACATGAGTATATCAGGCCTGGTGCTGAAACCATCTGGCACAGGGGTTATCACTGGACTGCCCTGAGTAGCTTATCAGAAGAATCAGTAAGGTGGTAAGCAAAATTTTCCAGTTGAACACGATTAAATCAAACTCCAGCTGAGCCATATGCACCCATGTGGCAACTTGTACCAAATTTGATGAACTATCCTTTAAGTTATGGCTCCCTTTCATGTTTTTTCCAATCCAAAGCTATCAAGACAGCTTGCTGCAGTAAAACCATAGTTTTCCTTGTAAGTGTAAACACAAACAAACGACCCCCTTGGGAAATCAAAACCGAGAGTTTTCAGTTTAAATCAAGCAGTTTAAAACTACTGTACTTGGATCACAGACCCTGAAAGGTCTTGAAGTCAGTTCTATATTGAAGCCATTTCTGACTGTGCTGCATTATTTTAACAGTGATGCTCCCTGTTACAACATTTGATCAAGAAAATTATGATCTTTACATCTAGGGTTGAGGCTTCTGTTTATTAAAGTGTAAATTGCTGCACTTTTAAAAGGAGGAGCCACTTTCTTCCTTGAAGGCCTGTTTTCAGAAAGAGGGTTTGTAACACATACATCAAGCTTCCAGTTGGTTAAAAGCTACACATGGCAATTAAAAAAAGGGAAACAAGCAAGCAAGCAAGCACCAGACAGTTAGTAGAACTGCTTTAAAAAGAATTAGCATCTCCCAAAGGAGGAAACAGCTCACTCAGACATACTTACTAAGTGTTATTATCCATGATTCTGCTGGAAATGCTGTAAAGTATCTACAGATAAATGAGAGACAGAGGGGGAAAAAGTCAATGTGTAGCTTGTGCATCTGCAGCTCCTGTGATATGGACATGGTTGTGTACTTCTCACAGGACCTCACCTGAGAACCTTGCAGGGGTCTGATGTCCAGCTGGGTCATCACAGTGTTTTTCCCAATCACCAGTGTCTTGTGCAAGACTTCAACAGCAAGCTGAGCCACATGTACTGTGTAAAAGTTGTTGTTTGTCACATTCAGCATATTCTGGAGTGAAAGACAAGTCTTATGATGAGAATGATTTGTATGATAAAACGGTAAACAGATAACACGATGTGTGTGTGGGTCCATTCCTTCAACTGTGTACAGTGGTGCCTTGCTTGACAACGTTAATCAGTTCCAGCGAAATTGCTGTAGAACGAAATCGTCAAGTGAAAGTAAAAAGCCAATTGAAACACATTGAAAACCACTCAATGCGTTCCAATGGGTGAAATACCTCAGCATCCAGCAAAGATCCTCCATAGGGTGGCCATTTTCTGGTGCCTGTAATGTGAGGAATCTGTCCTAAGCACAGTGGTTAGCCATTTTGAAACCCGACAATCAGCTGTTTTCCGATTGTCATAAAGCGAAAAATCAGTTCCCGAAGCAGGGAACCGATCATCGTGAAATGAAAAAAACCCATTCTATCACCGTTTTGTGATCGCAACAGCGATTGCAAAAAACATCGTGAAGCGATTTCATCATTAAACGGGGTAATCGTTAAGCGGGGCACCACTGTATTCCCTTGCAATGTCTGCTGCTGTTACTCAGAGTTCAAGGTGGGCACAAAGCCCTGAAATGTTACTGTTCCTCCCCAAGGGAACCTACAATCTGTATATTAGATAGAGGGCTAAATTTATTGAAGGAGGAAATGCAGCAGGAAGGCCAGTGGTAAGGGAATCACAGTGATCTGCAGGGGAAATGTCTCAAGCATGGGTGAGGGGTTTACAATGGTTGCAGAAATTATCTTGGATATGTTGAGAAAAAAATGCTCAACAACAGGCAACCTCCCCACCTAATACAACCCCTCCAACCCCTGGAGCCCAACAAGACCCAGCTTTACTGGAGTGGGCGGCAGAGTACAGAAAGTGGAACTGACACAGTCTCTCGACATTTAGGTGACATATATAGCAATGGAAAACCCCTTGAACACTCCCATGTGACACTAGCTTATGCAGCTTTAGCAACCAAAGAAAGCATGGGGTGGCAGAGCTTGGGAAAAGTCATTTTGGAAACTGCAAGTCCCAAAATGCCACAGGCAAGGTAGTCCTTAAAAGCGGATTTTCAAAGCTTGATGGGTTGTGAGAGTTGCTCAGGGAATTCTCAGATGTTCTTTTTGTGACAGTGGGGTGATGAAACTGACAAGACTAGATAAGGAAGGCCCTGATCTAAACCATGTCCTTCCTTCTAGGTAAACAAAGCCTGATTGTGTTTGCCTATCATACTCCTCTCTGTTTATGGCACATGCTGAAGGGTATATTTTGCTGGCAATGTGCTGCGGCAATGTTACGCAAGTTAATGTATAACACTGCTGCTCGTGTTTATAAGTGGCATGCTCCAGAGCTGCTATTCTCATGCTGCTTGATTTGCAGTCTCTATGCAATTTTGTTTTAGGTCCACTCTACACTGCTTCTGGTTTTTGTAGAATATCCAGTTGATCTGCAATCTGTTTAATCACAAAGCAGAAGGGGTCTCCAGAGGAGGAGTGATATGGCATTATTTCATATTAAAAAGAGCCAGATATTGTTTGCCAATTTTTAAAACTTTTGGATAAACTGCAAAGACAATAATAAAAACAGGAATAATGTGCTTAGAATAAAATTGGCTAACCATGTAGAACTGATGCAAACATTGCTGAAACAGTGAACAAAGCCTTTGCAAGTCTTGAAGTGTGTGTAAAAATACTGGATAGCAATTTTTAATTTCTCCCAGTCACCAAAAGAGGGTGCATTAATTCAGTAAGTTTTCTTTTTTTTCAAAAAATGAGGAATTTCTTAAATTTGAAACCCTTCCCACTTAAAAGAATGTGAAAGTTTATGTGTGTGGGCATGTCTGTCTGTGAAAATGCAGGCTAACTTACACAACTTTAACTTACCGTATGTTACATACAAACAAATACTGTACATCATATAGTCCAGTTTGTTGTGCTTCCTTGTAACTTTGTGTCCATGTATCCATCTTAAATCTGGGTAGGCAAATGCAGGGGGCTGGGAGAGGTCAAATTTCTGCCCCCAGCCTTTGTGTTGGACCCACCAAGTACAGAAATTGTCATTTTGTGCCACTATTAAAAAAAACTGGCTCAAGGTTCACTCAACCTTCCCTTCTTCCAAGGATGGTAAATTGGGTAACCTGCACGCTTTGTGGTGGCGGCGGCGGCAATGTATAGACTGCACAATTAAATTGTAAACTGCCCAGAGTATGCTTTGAGCACTATGGGGCAGTTATATAAGCAGCACACTTTGCTTTTTGCTTTGCTTTAGGGACTTACTTCTCAAGGCCCCAGGTGGGAGGTGTTAGTCCTAATGTCCTCCAGAAACAGAAATAAGACTTTTTAAAGCAATTTTTAGAAAACTATTTAAATGGGGTGATTGGGCTCTTTTTGGACTGCGTTAATACTCTGAAGACTGGAGATCAGCTGATGGCAAAAGCAGCATTCTTTAAAAAAATAAAGAGAAGCAATATAGCCTAATGGAAGCATTTTGAGCCATGCATTATGGATATACACACATTCATAGAGCAGCTCGGCTTTGACTTCTCACAGCATTCCACTTTAAATCAATAGGGAGTGGGAAAAAACTGCCACAAGACTGGCTGGGAACAAGGGTTGGACAAAAAGCAGTCCTAATTATTCCTAGTGTTGATTATCCTTCAGCCACCTGTTCTTCTCCCCCCAAGACAAATCTTATCTCCGGTCCAAAGCTCAGTTCTATAACCTGATTTGAATACCAGCTTCAGAACATGCGTTGTCACAAAAGCAGGGGGAATTTGATTTAAATCAAATTGATTTAAAGCATGATTCAACTTTTTTTTAAAAAATCAGTGTTTTTTTTTACAATTTAATTAAAGAAAAATCATTGATTTTTATCCACCCTGGAGGGTGCCTCCGAGCACATGCACAGATTTCTGCTCCAAACAACAGAGCAACTACACAGCTAGGTTGCAGAAATAGGAATCAGAAGGATGCCCAGATAAGCAAGAAAGAACATGTCTTCCACACCTCTTTATACCAAGAATATTTTTTTTCACTTTCTAAAAACACCAATATTAAACACCTACGTAATGTTAGAAATGTACAGCATCTTTTTGTTTCTTATTGCAGTAGTCTAGTCTTTATTCCTCTTTCATCTTAGTATAACTTATGTGGGGAGACACATTAAACTGATACCTATTTTTATCTGTGTGACGACCTCTGTAATTTCCTACTTCCAGCTTCATTTTTCTTCTGCTTTTTTCTTTGAATGGCTTAACTTTGTACTGTCTGAATTTCATATTGTGCAATACACATTTGTACTTGTTTCGTAATAACCGTATTTTTTTAAAAAAGTAAGAAAAAGACATTTGTGGCATTAACATGATCCAACCTTTCTTCATCTCTTCCTGTTCCAACCCCTTCCCCGCACCCCTGCTGGGACACTCACAGTCATATTGAGGGTGATGCTGTAAGTAGAATTGTCAAAGGAGATGGAGGAAGTATTGAGTCCAGAGGGAAGCACAGTGATGGAACGTGGGAAGAGAAAGTACATCATGAGACATGTCATCAGGAGGCAAATGGCCACTGTGAGAGTGACATACAGCTTCCTGCAAAAACAGAAGGCAAGCAGATCAATGGCAGCAGGACCCAGCTTCCCCATCCTCACCCACAAGGTGCCAGTGACCAGCAGCTCCCCAATAATTGGGCGTAATATTAGGAACAAGGGAATAGGAAGAAGAGAAGGGAATACCATTAAGAGTAAAACCCCAACTTACGTCCGCCTGGGCTTCAGCCGTTGGTCTCCATATGGAATAAGGGCCACCAGCTGCTGTTCTTGTTCTGGAGCAGGGAGGGAGGGAAGGGAGAAGAATTCAAAAGAGGGGCCTGAAAACCATATACCTCCCTCACCACAGAAACAGACAGTTCAATGCTGGGGAAGATGGAACATCAATTTAATAACAGCTTATCCACATGGAAAATCTTGTGTCTTTTTCTAGGCAGAGCTTTCAAAATGTGCATTTTTAGGACTACAGAACCCTGATTCCCCAATCTGCTGGGACAGTGGGGATTCTGTGAGTTGTAGTACAAACAGACAACTTTTCTAAGCTCTGCTTCTGACCACTCCTACCTGAAAGATGGTACAACAGAAAGTAGCAAGCACTTCTTTAGGAAAACAACAACAGCTCTATACAGTCTGATGCCTAGAAGTTCTCCCTGTGAGCTTCTCAAGCAGCAAGTTCTGTTTCATCCCAGTGGGAAATTCCCTTGGCCAGATCCAGCTCAGTTTTTTTAGGCTGCTCCAGAGAAGACAAAACAAGCCTGAGGGTGACACCTACCTCGTGGGATCCTTCCGGTGCCCTGGCAAGTAGGACAAGTGACATAGTCTCGGCTGGCTATACCAGCAAAAGGTACACAGGACACATCAGCAGAATCCCCCTCATTGATGCTGGCATAGCTGGATGCTTTATCCTCTGCACTTGAGCTTTTCTGTAGAATCGAGTTGCTTTCTTCTGCTTCTTTCCCAGAGCATAAGTTCTTCAACCACGAGAGGATTTTGTCCATTGCTCAGAAAGGCTGTCTCCATGAGGCAAGAAGCAAAGAAACAATAATCAACTAGAATCAGAAGGCAATATTGATCCCTCCCAAATAGCACTTGTTTTATTAAATTTCAGGCTCAGGCAGAGCTTCCAAAACTGACTTCTTTGGATTACAACTCTCAGAATCCCCTAGCTAGTCATTTTCCAAACAGCCTTCTGTTGGTTGAAACAAAAACAATACGCTGATGCTATAGGACATATGAGATGCACTACTGGTACCCTAGAATTAGATTTCCCAGCAATACTCCTTCACCATTGTGCCTCTCAGCTCCCAGAATTCTTTACATAAAGACTGCTACTTTGGTGACTATTCACTTCTTCCCTCTAGAAACAGAGGAGGCTCCTTTCTACCAACTTGAGACCAGAGGTGCCTAGTGTTCAATGCCACCTGCTATACTGATGGGAAGAAGACCCCCAAGATTTCAGACAAAAGTCTTTCCCTAAGGTCTTGTCTGGGCCGGAGCCTGAGTTCAGCAAGTTGGTGCGACATCAAGTCAGAATCAGCTTATAGCGACCCGAATAGGGCTTTCATTGCCAGTGAGATATTTCAGGAGTGGTTTTACCACTTCCACTCTGTCCCCAACCCAGTAAGTTTCCATGGCCAGGAAGGGAACTGAACTCAGATATGAGTCCTAGTCTACCACTCTTTCCACTACATCACATAGAAATCTACTGTTTTATACGCATTTCTTTTAAGAGGAGGGGAAACTACCTACAAATTATTGATGCAGGGTAAGAAAATACTGAAGTACCTTTAAGATTAAACTAACAAAGTAAAAAGATGCAATACTGTATATTTACCAGGACCTCTTTACCAGACCTTTTATGACTTCAGGTATTAAGTCAAATTTCATTCTAGTCCTAATTGGATCTGATCCAAAAGATATTCACAGAACAACAAGGGTTAGTAAGTAGGGCTAAAGGCATCTCAAAGGTTAAGACCAGAGAAGCTGACTTTGGAAATGGCTAGAAACTGGGTCTTGGGTTTCCCTTGGTAATCACAACCAGCACTACATATCTGGGATTAGAAATTCCTCCTTCAGTCCCGGTACTTAAAAACACACACACATGAAGAGCAACAAATAACTTTCTTTTCCAAGATGCAACTTTTGTTTAAACACAAGAGGAACTTTCTCCATTCCATTATGGGTCTAATGGGTCCTGCTGCTTTGCTACGCAATGCTTCCCCTTTCGCTTTCTACTTGCCTCACTGTTTTCCCTGACTAGTCTTGGCCAATGACTCACTGACAGAGCAGAAGGCAGTTAATGATGGGCAAAGGAAGGGGTGCCTATGATGGCAGGAGGCAGAAGTACATATGCAGAGACAGGCACAGAGGCAGAGAAAGATAGACACAACCAATGAAGTACTGTATTTACATCATACACACTGGCAGAAAGGCAGACAGAAGAGGGATGGGGGACTTTGAACCCATAGCTGGGCCATTTACCTTAAGGAAACAGTCACCACTCCCTTCAACCCCAACCACTTAACAAGCTTTTTAAAAGGCACAGATTCTTTTTTTAAAAAAACTTTGACCAGAAGAACTGCAAGCACACTCAATTAAGCAACTTTTAAGGAGATAAAGACTGCCTTTCTCTTAGTACCCTCCATCACAGCACTGCTTTGGAAATGAAAAATGTTACTCAAAAATAAATCCTACTTTGCTCGGTGGGGCTTGATTTCCACAAGCAGTTAAAGCATCACTAGAAATGTAGCTCACACCTACCTGATAGGATGGGAGCCGAAAAAGCAGTATTCTGGAGTAGAGCTGCTGCTAACCTCTCAACCAGTCTTCTGTAACTGTGTCTTTAACAAACACACAAACAAGTTTATTTATTTATGTTTTTACACCACCTTTCTCAACGTCTCGAGGCAGCCAACATCATTAAAAGACAATATTTAAAAGCCACAAGGAGTAAGTAAACAAATATTAAAAAGAATCAAATAAATACAATAAAAATGGTAAGCAAAATCAATGCCAGAAACAGATTCAAAGCAATTTCATTTGACACCCTCCCCCCAGATAGTCAATATCTAAAATGTTTTTACACCACCTTTCTCAAGGTCTCGAGGTAGCCAACATCATTAAAAGACAATATTTAAAAGCCACAAGGAGTAAGTAAACAAATATTAAAAAGAATCAAATAAATACAATAAAAATGGTAAGCAAAATCAATGCCAGAAACAGATTCAAAGCAATTTCATTTGACACCCTCCCCCCAGATAGTCAATATCTAAGAGAGAATCATTAAGAGACAGGCATTAGCAGGTGAGGATCACACTCATTTCTGTTGCAATTAATTGCCAGTTTTATTGGCCTATGTCAGTTAGCAACTCTGCCTGGGCCAAAATATACCAAAAGAAGGGACGGCAAAATAATTAAAATAAAATACGGACAGAAAAACAAAAGTTCAAGAACAGTATAAACTTCGCCAAGAGGTTTTGGTTTTACAAGTTATTTCCAAGATACTCTATCCTTGGGGTTATAGGAAGTAAGCCCCCCTTTCCTGTTTGCTTACTAATTTTGGCAATTTAACAATCTGCTACAAAATTAGTCGTTTTTCTGAAAGCTACCATACCTCTGCCTGTTTCTGCCTCCTCCTAAGGAAACACTCGGTAAAAGCCCCCTTTAAGACTTCTTTTTGAAGCTGAGCAACAGCACGCCCTTGTTCACCCCAGGCATCTTGAATTCAGTAGAAAGGGGAAAGTACAGTAAAGGTAAAGAAAGAAAGAAAGAGGCGAGGCGCGGGGACCCGAAAGCAGGTACTAGGAAGTTCGAAATGGAAAACAAGAGAGTTAAAAAGAGGACTTCAAGAGGCTGACGCAAAATGGAGGCAGGGCAGGATCCTGTTCCGAGAGGGCAGCTTAGAAGGCAGAGCGGGCGGGGAGGGAGCGATTTTGGGCTTCTTTTAAGGGCACCGCCGAGAGGGATTAAAAGGAGCACCTGCCGGCTGCCTCGGCCTCCAAGGGAATCGGCTCGCCCATGCTTAAATTTTACCACAGATGCGGAACCGAAAATGAAAACTGACCGTGCCACCCCGCCTTTAGCCAGTGGGTCCACCCCCACCCCCCCAGTCTTTCCCTTCCGCGAAGCCCAACAAGAATTAAAAAAAACCCCTCCGGGGCAGATGAGCTTTCGTGGTTAAGGAGCCGCCGCCTCGTGGGTCTGAAGAGGAAGTGGCTGGTAATCCACGAACATACACAAAAGAATACATCTCTTAATCTACCGTCGCCACAATAACTGTGTTGCGATTATTACATGCTAATTCTCTGGAAGTTGCTCTCCATGCTGTCTCCGTCTCGTTTCCTTAGAAAGGTACACCCAAGCAATGCAACCACGAGGGCTTCCTTCTAAGCTGCCCTCTTCACGCTTAATTTTTCAAAACAGAAATAATACACACACCCCACCAAGGTGCCGGGCGTCAAGACGGTGCTGAAGCCACGAGCACCGTGGGATGCATAACACGATCCCTGCACATACTGTATTTAAATCGGGATTAAATTACACGGAGTTCGCTTGGATTGACTGTGCAGTAAATAAATGCCTATGTTCTCAGACATCCTAATGCACCTTTATCTGGGAGAAAGCATTACTGAATGCAGGCGGAATTGCTTTTGAGTAAATATATGCACAGGATCGGGCTCCAGTGAGTGTCCAATCCTTCACTCATCAGTAAACCCTACTAAGAGTTTTGACGCTTACTTTCACCTAAAGGTGGTTAGACCCGAACTGCGGCTGCGCAAACGCAGTGTTTCTCATTCCAGGGATCCACCCGCAGAAAGCCCAAGAAAATTAAAGGATTCCTCAACGTTGTCTTTTCTAGGGCTTAAAAAAAACTGCTTTGCATCAACTCTTGATTGGTTAGTATTTTGTAAAAATAATTAGAAATTAAGAAGATCCGTGTAAGATTTTATGATTCTGACTATTTAATTCGAATCGCCGCTCAGCCATGGAAAATCACTGGGGGAGTGGAAGTGGCAAAACCACTCCTTAAATACCTCACTTACCTTGGAAGTCTGATTGAGATCGCTATAAGTCGTTTCCAACGCGAGGATACATCACTTCAGTCCTTAAAAGCTGTAGGGGCAGTGATATTTTGTCACAGATTTTGAAAACGACGAAGTGCAATCTTAGGTAACTAATACACCCCTGAGGCCAACTCTTAAGTCTAGCTAAATCTGCATTCAACCTTTTCAAATCTTTTAATTCACTTCAATTTATTTCTCCGTTTCCACTGAGATTCTTCCCCAAAATGTGTCGGTCTCGCTTGTTCTGTACTCACCTTCTCTCTTTCCCTAGCTGGTGTGGGAGCCGGGGAGGTGGGGGCCACTTTTACGCAGCATGAATTGCAGATCGTAAATCTCCCTTCCGACTCTTGGCGTTTTCCGCTTATACTCTCCAAAGCTCCGTTTTCTCCTCTGTAGCTGTACTGGCCACTTCCTTGAACACTGCTGTGCTGTTGTCTGCCCGAACGAAGTTGGCCAATATTTACTCCGAGGAGGAGGAAGGTCTGCCTGCTCTCTGCGCCTGTCAGGATCAGAGCAGCAGCGCCTGGGCCTACCTGCCCGGGCAGCAAAGCCAGCCTGCACTTCAGGCAAGGGATTGTGGGGTGTTATAAAAATGACTGTTTTTCAGTAGGATGAGGTGACTACGGGACTCACAAACTTCCCAGTCTATCCGTCTCAAGTGCTGACATAACTTACCAGCTTTGGTTACAGACCCATACTTAGGGGTCCATTTCTCTTCAGGGGGGAAAATGAAACAGTGTCCTGTTAGGGCAGACAGCTAGCTTTGCCCTCATCTGACACTCTTTGGATCCGTGGAACTACAATGTCCATAATCCTCAGCTAGCATTACCATCACAGAGCACTCACCAAGGACAAATGTTCTGGCATATACAACAAAAATAAAAGTGTTATGTGGTGTCTCTGTAAGTTGAGTCATGGCAACTGGACTAGTGAGGTTGAAACTTTTTGCTACTCATCCAAGTAGCTTCTTAAATCTGAGGAGAGCTGGTCAGAGACCCCTTATATATCCTTCAGGTTGGTTTCACTTCCCCCTAGTCTGAATAGACTCTTAAGTGGACAAAGAACAGTGGGAGGGGTGAGTGAAAATCCCACTTCTGCAGTCTACCTATTGTCATAAATCATTAACAGCCATTAACAATGGTCTTTCTGGTGGGTGTGGTCCTGATCCTTCAGGGGACTGATGAAAGGGCAGCTTGATAAATAGGAGACAGATTGCATCTAAGGTCTCCACCCCTGTTGAGTGAGGGATTTTCTATATGCACATGTATGGCCTCCCTGATCCCTCTCTCAAACCACCTATTTTCTCCCTCCAAAATAAGTACATCTTAGTCATAAAATGAGTGTCATTTGTCCTTCAAATGAAGGAACACTGCTGATTGTGGTCCTGAGCTGTTGCCCCTCCTGTTTTGGGCTTTTCTCCTGTTTAGTGACTGTTTGGTTTCTCCAGTGTAGAGCTCCGAACACTTCTCTTTGCATTGGACCACATATACCTACTATATTGCAGCAGCTGTGTTTTGGCGTCCGGTCTTTTGGATGGATGAGTCTCTGCTAGTGGGTTTGAACTGCACGAGTATGTGGTGTTTACCAAAAAAATTTTTGAGCTTTTCAGACACCCGGCCATAAGGAACAACCAAGTTCTTCCCATCGGCTCTGGGTCTCAGACTGTTCCGTTGTCCTGCTGGGTCGGGACAAACCTATTCAGAACATTTCAGCCTAATAAGAAAGCAGTCCAGTTGCCATGACTCAACATCTAGATAACCTCACCTAGATGACTGAGATTATTTACAGATATAATGTTATATGGTGTCTTTAAGACAAATTTCTTTCAGCAGGGACTTGAGTGGGTTACAATTCATTTCTGATAGACTGATATGATTATGTTGTCTTTGTCAAGTCACTTCCTGTTTAACCCCGACTGTATAAATAATTAACTCCAGAAAATCAGATTATTAATCATTCATTTATGGACTCCACCCAGCTCACATTAGGTGCTTCTTTTTTCCTACTGCCTTTTACTTTCCTGGGACATTATTGCCTTTTCCAGTGACTCTCGTCTCCTCATGATATCTCCAAAGTACAGTAGCCTCAGTTTCGTTGTTGCTCTCTTTGAAAATTGCTGTTCTGCAAGGTATGTCTGTGATTTCACTTATTTTGACCACAACCACTTAAGATGCTTAACTGTGGAAAATGCACATACTATTTTTCTTCTTCAAGAGTGGGAAGTGCAAGAGCAGTATTGAAAGAATACTGGCATCTCTGTTTACCTCTCTGTATACTCACATTCCACTACCACAACATGCAGTGATAGCTGCTGGTTTAGCAACATTACTCAGGAGTTAAATCTTATTGTGATCAATGGGACTTATTTTCAGCAAAGTGTGCCTAGAGTATCAGGCCTGCATGTATTTATTCCATATGCTCAGTGTATGTCTCACTGCTTGCCCAGACATACAAAAGCCAACATTACTGTACTCAAATCTCAATTTGCATAACAGGTTATATATACAAGCAACCTAAAACTGTATAAAAACAGTACACATCACCTAATCCAAGGATCTGATAGCTGCCCTTAAAGGGTGTTTTGGGTGCCCTTGCTAGAAGCAGCCTTCAGAGGAGAGCTGAGCGTTACCATCCTGAAACCTCTCCATATAAATCCAGTAAGACAGGGATAAAGAATCTGTGGCCCTCCATGGGGCTGTTGGATTGCAAACTCCATTAGTCTTTGGCACTTGCTGTGCTACCTGGAGATGATGAGAGTTGCAGTTCAATTACCCCCCCCCACACACAAACACAATAGGGACTTTGAGCAGAATATGATCTGTTGATTTGAATGCATGCAGGAGGTGGTACCTACTTTTCAAGGATCCGAAGTTTTCAAGGATCCAAATTACTCAGGACATTAGAGTAAATATCTCAAGGGCTGTCATGAGAAAGATTAAGTAAGCTTATTTCATGTTGGTCTGGAGGGAAGAGTGCAAACCAATAGACTCCACTTACAAAGAAGAGGGTTTCAACTAAATATTAGGAAAAATTCTGATGAGAAGAGCTGTTCAGTAATGGAGTGGAGTACCTTTAAAAGTCTGTGTTAGTTTTTCAAACACAACTTAGATGGTCATCTTTCAGTTATGTTTTCACTATGCATCTTCTTTGGCAAGGGGTTGGACTAGATGGCCTTTGAGCATCTTTTCATCTGTTCGTAAAATAATCTCAAATTCTATGATAGTGTAAAAACACATATTTGAGAATATAATTACTTCTGCCTGCTAAATAACCTCAATGCTGCATTTAGATTGTGTTTAGAAGGATGCAGAATATATTGCATTATCATACTCAAGAATGCTTACCAATTGTTCCTTCTGAAACTGGGAGAAGGTAACATGTGGAGTACCACAAGGCCCCATCTTGGGCCCAGTGCTCTTCAACATTTTTATTAAGGATTTGGATGAGGGAATGCAGGGAATACTTCAAACTTGCATATGACACAAAATTGGGTGGAATAGCTTATACTCGGGAAGATAGAAACAAACTTCAGAAAAATCTTGATAGGCTTGAGCACTGGACTGAAAACAACATACAGTAAATTGAAGAGGGATGAGTGCAAAGTTCTACACATAGGGGAGAAAAACCAAATGCATAGTTACAAGATGGGGGATACTTGGCTCAGTAACACTGCAAGTGAGAAGGATCTTGGAATTGTTGTAGATCAAAAGCTGAATATGAGCCAACAGAGTTATGTGGCAGCAAAAAAGGCAAAAGCGATTCTAGGATGCATTTAAAGAAGTATAGTCTCCAAATCCTGTGAGGTACTCATCCCACTCTATTCAACACTGTTTAGGCCTCATCTAGAGCAGGGTTCCCCAATCCCTGGTCCGTGGCCTTGGCCATACCGCGAACACAGAT